GAATTAATGAACGCCCCCTTATGAAATATACCGCATTAAAAATTTTCATTGGAAAAATAAATGTGTGTCGAATTTAAATACGGCACGGCATTGAAAGTTGAAAGCGACCGTTAAATCTATAATGAAATGTTACGTTTATTAATACGGTAATGAAAATACGCATTACACTGGTATTATCCAATGGTTCCTTTAACCTATCTCACAACGGTATCTGCGAAGAAAATTTCTATAAAAATAAATTCTAACTCTGCAGCCGGAATTATACCGTTTTCATAATACACATCCATATTTTTAATTTGATTCAAATCTATATTTCTGACTTCTACTTTTTATGTAGAACTATTGATTTCCATACTTACCGATACATACTGGATCAAGATAGTCTCGTTCAGGTATATTTCGTGGCGCATAATGCACAGTGAATGTGTATTAAAAGTAAATAAATCGAATTCTCTAGTTTATTATAAATGTATTTGCTAATTATTTGTACAAAATGTTCTAATTGCTATGTCTGTACGTCGTTTAAGCGAACTGTCAGCGTCATTGCTTTGCTAAGAAAAAGTTTAGATCAAATTTTAAAACATGGCTAAATAAATTTCTGTTTGCAGCATTACCAGATTAGTGGTCAGAGTGGACTGTCAAGTTGGGTGATTTTTTCAATATCGTGAAATTAGTGATGATTTTATATGTGAAACGTTCTTCAAAGCTAATGCAGGTGGTGATTTCTCTAATTGAAAATACGGCAGGCTTAGCAGCTGGATTATCTTAAAAGACATTTCAAGCACACACAAAAAACATATATGCTATACAGAGACTTTGTTCGATACAGTCAGGAGATGTACTGCAAATACATACACAAAGTGTCACTGATCGAGGAATGAGACAAGAATCAACACAACGTAAACGTGCTAAAGAAGACCAGGTTACAAGTTTGATTTACAACGTCATATTGGCAATTAACACGCACATATATATATGGATGATATTCACTTAATACCCAAACTTATGACTAGATATTTCCCATTCCCTGTTTGATGGCGTTGTAAGAATTTAGCTTTTGGGGTTATTGATTCTATCGAGTTTGAAGTGAAAGGTGCAATAGTTAGCAACTTTCAAAATGCAAATTTGCACACATTAACAATAGATAAGAGAGCTGATATATCACTGACATAATGTTGATATTATGCGCACACTTGCGGACATATCTCAATAATGTTTACAAGACAGTGTTTGTTGGAATTTTGTCTCTGTCGGAATATGACAGTAAATCTTTGGAATCAGAAATAACAGAGTTTTATCAGGAGAATTTTTGGACATGTAGAACATGGTTATGTTTACCTCTGGTGGTGCATCTGTACTGTTATGCTAGGCAAGAACAATGGATTTCCAACAATTCTTCGCGACGTATTCCATATCTACTTGAACAACTTTGCATTGCTCATCGTGAAGATGTAGACATCGATGATGCTTGCAAACATATAAGTTTAATGGCAGACTTTGAAACATTCCTTAGGACAGTGTACACATTGTTCAATATGTCGACAGTATTGACGGCCCAGCTTACTGAACTAGCTAAGGTGTTAGAATGTGATTCCGTAGTCTTAAGACCATTGCATGAAATCAGATGGCTTCCGCTGCACTTTGCTTTAAACTTTAAGAGCATTGCTGAGAAGCATGCAAGTTTTTACTGAATATTATGAGGAGCAGCTGAGCCTGTATAATGATCCAATTCATAAGTACTTTTTGAAGAAACTAAGTGATCCGCAGTTTCAAATGATAATGATTGTCTTTAATGAAGTTGTTGGTGAAATTGCTGAATTATGCAAGCTGCTACAAAGAAAAAAAAATATGACCATTGAGCCATACCAGTTTGTAAAAGTAAAGATCGCCAAGCTCCGTGCCCATTAACTTGATGAAAATATGCTCTGGTCCATACAGGTTGCTGAGTTGCTTGCAAATGACGTGGACATAAACATGTTTTCAATATTAAATTTCGTTGAAAATTTATTTTTCACATGAGCTATGGTTTCCCTGACAGTGAGTTGATGCGTGGGGTAATCTTTAATATATCAGCGTAAATCAACAATTCAGATTTTATGTTTTGGCCAAGAAATTACAACACTGGTCTCTAGATATGCGGCATTCCTGAAGAAATATAATGCCATTCTGCCAAAAGTTAAGGATCAGTATGGTAACTTTAGATTTACGCTTGCAAAAAAAAATGAAATGTGGATTGGTGCATACTTTCGACGAGCTGGTTCGATTTGTAATAAATGAACAGCAACTGGGTGACATTACCGTTGGATATTTCTAATGCATTTCTTGCATCAAGCGCCGACAGTGCATGTGGATTCAGCCGAATGAATCATTTAAAAAATAGAATCCTGAAATGGACTGGAAGAGTTACATTTAGACATGCTTATGAGGATCAAAACGTATCAGAATGATTGACATCAGAATCAGATCAAAATTGACGATGTGTATAAGACTGCAGAGTACAACCAGAATTGAGTCAAACAAATGACAAGCAGTCATTGTTAGTGGTTGTGTTGGAATTTAGTTGCTTGACCAAAATGACGGGTTAAATAATAGAAATAAATATAGCTTTTTTAAAACTATTGTGACATTTCTGATTACAATCATTTAATTATAGTTCCTTTATTAATTTCTACAAGCGCTTTTGCATTTAAGTTCATTTATGTAATTTCCGTGTCTGTGTTAATAATCGATGCTGTAAAACTTTGCAAACATCGTTAAGATTTTGCACACCAACCAGCAAACCTTAGAAAGAACATTGATTATGTTCTATTGTGATAGGAACTGGAATCAGTATGAAAAAAAAATTGTTATTAAAACTGTAAAGGTTTTTGAACTATTGTCTGCTGAAAGAGTTGTGTGCAATACGTAAAAAAAAAAAATTAATTAATACATTTTATTTTTTTTTAATCACCTGACACATATTATACTTGTTATCGGCAAAAATATATATATACCTGGTATATATTTTTAATTTAAGAGGTATTTTCAGTCATTTACTTAATTTAAATATTTTTTCAGGGAAAAAAATTATTGCCGCCTTTTCAGATATTACTTCAAATCTAGTGCTATTTTCTAAAATTTTCATTCTGCTTTTTTCTGTTGTTTGTTCGCTGGCGAAAGCTTTCGACTGAAACGTTTTTTTTTTATAAAAATGTTTTCCCGTTCCTTTCTTCTGTTTAACTTTAGCTTTAAAAGCTCATTTTCTATTTTGCTGATCTGATTGCTGTCTCTCCCCTTACAAAATTGTATAAAAATTTGCTATCAAATTAATTGAAATAGGTCTGAATTTTATGAGCTTTGTTGCCAAACCATGAATTCTGTATCACACAAAATTTCTTTTGCATGTTATATTTTTATTTGCGGAGAAGATCTTTCTGTCCCTGTGATATTGGTTGCTCTGATATGATCTCTGCACCTGAAGTTTTGTAGTCACGATCTCATTATCATTTTAATCAAACAAATCCTTGTTTCTTCTTTTTGTTGGTCAATGGTGTTCTAAAGCAATATATTAGACTAACAAGGACCCGGGATGCGTTGCAATGCCATTCAAAGAAAAAAAAGTTGTTTGCGTTTTAATAACGTTTTTTAATTAATTTTTAAACAGTAATTTATTTTTTTTCCGTCTGGTGCGTACACAAATAAATAAGAATTTTTGAAACGTGAGCAAGCAACATTCAACTATGCACGTGAGAAACATCGGTTTCAAAATTTAGTCAACAAAAATATATCGATTGATCCATCTATTCAGTAGCTCTGTTTGAAATTATATTATATAGTTTACAATATAAAAAAGAAGCCCCCGGCCCCAAATGCAAAATTTTAAAATGTTGTAGGCCTACTAATTAAGAGGGTGTTCACAGACTGCAAACTAATTTCTTTAATTACAAGATTTAATTCACATTTATATGTTTGGTGTACTCATTTGGATTGCAATAGCTGAAAAACCGAAATAAATTTTAAAAAAAAATTGGATTAAATTATATTATGTTTATGTAATTTTTTTAATGATAATTTGTAATCATCATAACTAAAAAAAGTATCGAAGTTACAATGCTGAAACTTGGTACAGATAATTTTTATGATATTATTGATGACTCCAAGAGAGCATTTTCAAGTAAATCAAATACTTTTTAAAATGCCTTCGAGCCTTGAGTGTCATGAAAAATAACTGCCTAATTACATAGATTTAAATTTTATAATATTTTTTTAAAAATCAACCAGACAAGATACAATAAAATGCTCTCATGAGAGCATAGTAAAAGAATGTGCCAAATTTTAACTCTTAATCTCTAAAGACAAAAAAAAATTCACTGTGCACTGTGTTGAAAAAAATACAAAAAACAAAGAATGGAGAAAAACAATGAAAACAACTTTGAATCAAGATATCATTCAAATACTTGAAGTCTTAAATGACAATATATTAAAGTACATTTACAGACCTAAAAAGGTCTACAATTTTAATAACAGCTAGTCAAGTATTAAACATGTGCAATCTGTTTTCAAATTATAGTTCATCTTAAAAGCATGACTCAAAATTAGGCATCTCATTTTTTCTAACTTAGTATTTAAAGGGCGCAAAGAAGTAGTGCACGTTTCATAAATTACTATTCAATCAAAAGTGGTTTTGTTTTCTTTAAATGTGATAACTTTATTACAAATTTTCCTGAATAACAGAATTGTCAGTTTTTTTAAAATACTTGGCCGTTAGCCTATATTTATTATTATTAATGTTGCAGGTTGAGGGGAAATATTGAAGAATGGAACGAATGAGGGTGGAGACTTTAATTTCTTGGCTTTCATGACCCAGGATATGTTGCAAACCCTGTCTGTTTTCTGAGGTCCTTATAATGGACAGCATGTACAAGGTGAAGAAAAATAACAATCCGCTATTAAAAGTCCTTTTTATTGATGGCAATAGACTAGGGCTAGGCAGGCCGGTCTTTCATGCGCTTCTGGCATCAGAAGACACCCTAATTCTCTCTTCTTGTTTGTCATTTTTTGTGTCCTCATTTACTTCCAACTTGACGAAGACTGGATTTGTAGATAAGCACATGGCAGAAATATGTGCCATTCGCACATATCTTCTAGATGTGTCTATTAGACTCTGTGCTTTTCACACAGCCACAGCCGTCAAATACGATCTCCAGCAGAGAAAGCTGCACTCTCCTATAATTTCTTGTATACTTGATCTATTTGCAGAACAAAATTCCTGCAGTGATTTGTCTCAGTACAATGTGCTCAAGGATAAAATATCTGACATTTCATCCCCAGAAGTTATTTCTTCATTTACTTTCAATCCAACTGGTGGAACTGTCCCCCAACTTTGGGATGCTTCTTTTGTACAATCCCAAATCTTTCAAGTTAATACCACTAATCATGCTGAGAAATTTCATCAAAAAAGAAACTAGTCCTCAAAATTCTAAGTCACTTCTCAGTTTTTGTATAAATGAACTGCTTAGAATGACAAAGAGCACAATGCAAGTTAGAGATACCTCTGCTTGCATATATTCTTTTTCTTTAAAGTACAACAGTAAATTAAATTCTGATATTGTTGATACAAATCATTATGACCTTACTCCTTCTGGGGCAAAAATTGTCATGGAATAATTTCTTCTCTATAAGATAACTCAGTATCCTTTTCAATGTTCTGTAACTTCTCATGACAAATACATTTTGTCATCATAACACCTGACCCTTCTTCCTACGACTGCACTATTCATTCATGTTCTGTGGATTTCTTCTTTAAATTCCATTTACCTTGTTGACACATATTTGCTTTTCGCTCATTAGCCTGGGACGGCCACCCATCTAAGAGAAGGCAAACTCTGAATTTAAACCAGGTTTAAGCCATGATCCAGAATGATCAACAAATAGATTGTTAGCCCCTAAAATATAAGAAGAAGAAGATCAACTTCCTAACTGCTTTTCTATTTTTAATGTCAGAATAACAAAGTACCCCATCCATTGGCATTGCCATCATTTTTTATATTACTAATTTTATTTTAGATGAGAATCCAGTACAAAGAAAATATTTTTTTTTGTGAAATAGTGTTTCGATTATCATGCCAACTCCTTTTTTCTTGGGTACATGTTTAAAAAGAAAATCTTTATCCTAATTCGTCAATTTAAAATAGATTATGTGGATTTAGATAACAATGTGTTAATGTATAGTTAAGATGCAATTTAATAAAGTTATAGTAGTTTGAAATTCAAAATAAAAATTTCAATGTGGTCAATATTGGGAAATGTATACATAATTTGCATACGAATTCCCCTTAGATAAAATCACGCATTAATAAGTATAATATTTTCTGTGAAAAAAAGTCATGCCCTCTCAAAATATTTATGCCGCTTAAATGCAATTTATAAAAGTGAAAAGTTTTCAAAACCCATAATAATGTATGGACCTTTCTAATAAACTCTCATAAAATAAGGACATATTTAGAAAAGTTAGTCTAAGCATTATAATTATCAGTAAGTTTTTTCCAACCATTTGCGTTTATCATACTGTTTGCAGTGCTTTTTGGTGATGTAACCCTTTTTAATTGAATTTTGTTTTCTGAAAATTCATTTATTAATTAAGTACATATCACTAAAAATAATGTAAATAAAAAATAAAAGCCACATTACTATTTTTAGTTAATAATTATTTTGTTTTTATTTTCGCATAACACAAGCAGGTCATACTATTTCCGTTTAGACAACCCTCCATGGAAAGTTGATAATTAAGAAAATATCCTTAACACAGCTTTAACCCTCTAGAATATTCGAAGCATCCTTCAGTCGTAGGGGTTGCTAGGCGCACACGATGGTGCTAAGGTTAAGTGACACCTAGAATTTTTAACTATGTAATCTTTCGTTTCTCTTCAGATAAGTGGGTGTGGAATGTTGCAAAACTAAATTCAGATATGTGAAAATGCATTTTTTTATTTTGAATTTATCAAAAATTTCCTTGGGGACTATAATGATTTAGAGGGCGAGAATAATCTAGGGAACAATCATACCTTCAAGGATGACATAACTAAAGTGAATATAGTTTAAGTCCCGCTGGTACGAAATTTAAGATGCAATGGTCATTATTATTATTGCTAATTTTGTCATTTCCCACCCGAACGTTTGCAGTACAACCTCAGTATTGTTTAAAAAGAAACTACAAATTCAAGTATGCGCCAAAATAATGCATTCGTGCAATTTGAGTTTGTACGACAGTCTTTAGCAACCTTAATTATGCATCCCCTTCAATCACGCTGATCAATGGTACACTATGGGATTGATTATAAGCCTTTTCATGATGATTACCATGAGGCGTGCCACAAACGGAGTGAATTCACATTTTATATGGCACTGGGCCTTAATAATGCCTCCCACAAAACCTTAAAAATGTTCTTCCCTGTTCAAAAGGGGTAATATAAACATCGAATTCAAGTATTAAAAGTTTTCTTGAGAGCAATATCCCCAGACGCCCCCACCGATCAAGATTCATCAGCGCCATCGATTTCCACCCTCTTTCTCGATGAAAATTATGGCCGATTTTTGTATCGATAGATACACTGGCTAGTGGCGTTCTAATATTAATGCTGCCATACGGGGCAAATTTTTTTTGCAGTCCTCCCAAACACGATTCAAACTCTACAGGTGTCCTAAAATGCTACACCAGCATATGAAGAAAAATAGACACCTAGTTGGACCACTGCATCCGCCCTATTTAGACGCAGCTAGCAGTGACGTATCTACAGAAGTTGGCGTCAGATTAATTGTTGCCCCCCTCCATCTCTGAAACCGGTTATTTTTAACGAATTAATTCCATCAAAGCCTATTTCCCCCCCCCCCCC